TTTATCACCTGCTCCTTCTCCTGCTTTTTATAGCAACGACTTAAACGGCAAATAAAAACATCGGATTAAGCTACTGATGAAAGATAGACGGACGCTTTATTGATCCCTGTTGGAGAAATTCAGGTAAACAGCAGCAGCAAAGACGGAGTAGCTGCTTAGTTCTGACTATTTTCTCTGCTCTGGTCCAAAGTAAAATGCAAACTAACTACCTAACAGCAGTGCATTTTGCTTGTTGCTACGGTTACTCCTCTGAGCGGCCATGCAGAGGATGTCAGGAGTTACCCAGGATGCCCCAGGATGCCCTCCCACAGAGTCCACACTTCTCCTCATCACCGACACACACTTCCTGATCTGCCTGTCGAGCCGGTTACAGTCTCTCGAGGTCAGTTATGATCTTCCAGCTCGCGTCGCTCAATGTACATGTATAATGAAGAGGAAACTCAAGGTCTTTTTGGGAATTATTCTTATGATGTTGCTATGAGCGAATTAGTCTCCACGTCCCCACCCACGGAGATCACAGCTTCTTAAATCGGCTTCTTCACACTCGGTAAGTCCACTCCATTATACAGTACAGTCGGTGAGTGATGGTGTTTCATATGTTCATAGAAGTGATACAAACTGTCTGTAAAGAACAAGCAGCGCATTCCACAGATGGATCCGTGTCCGCTGCAGAAGAAGTCAATGTTTCGACACCAAACAAAGATTAAATGTTTGATACAGACGGTGATATGTGTCGCCTTAACACAGACTGGTATTTCCAACACAGTAATAAGGCCTATGGTGTAAAAGAAGCAGAGATCTACAGGGAAACTCACTTTGGTCGAACGGCCTTCCCATAACTGTCTGTTTTAAACTCTACATGTATTTAAATTTTCCACATTGTCTTTGTTTTGTCTCTCAATAATGATAATAATACTAATATTAATACATCGGTTTTTTGTAGCGCTTTTTTGGACACTCAAAGCAATGTCATTATTCATTTACTCCATACACGGTGGTGATGAAGTACAACAGTAGCCACAGCTGCCCTGGGGCACACTGACAGAAGCAAGGCCACCAGTATGTGCCATCAGCCCCTCCCATCACCACCAACTATTCACACACACACACACAGAAATTGCCCAAACTTGGCTAAATGGATTATAGAAAATTTGCTAATCGAACATGTAATTTATTTGTAATATAGGGCTTGAATCGGGCTGCTCCGTTGTTTTAAGAATGTCAAATTGTTTTCAAAGTTTAAAAGGAATAGCTCTCTGCTAGTGTTGTCCCGAATATAGCAGCTCTCCAATGGAAAAGGTTGGAGACCCCTGGATTGGATCATTTCATTGTTCTGACATTTTAATCATCTAATTTAAGCTAGAATGTGGCTTTCATTTTAGAGGTAGAAAGGTTCATTATCGGGACATTGGGCAAAGTACGAATTAATTTCTCTCATAGCAACACCAAGAGAAACCCTTCCAACCAATGGACTTTCACTCCGACAACTCCCAGACCTTTCAAATTCATGTTCCACCTGCTCCACTGGCTTTCAAAAGAGCTCCTCCGAAAGGTCACGTAATTGTGTTTCTTGAAAGCCTTTGATTTCGTTCAGCCACATCTCACGCTGCGATAAACTGTCCACCTCCCATTATGGCCACATCACTTCCTGTCTTCCCAAAAAAAAAAAAAAGCAGAAGTGTTTTATTTTTGGAAATGTGTGTCGCGGATTTGGAGATTTAGTTTGAATCATGAAAGACAGGGAGAGAGCGGGCGCCGGAGGGGCCGGGGAGCGGGTGTCACGGATTACTGTAAGAGAGACGGCGTTCGGGAGGATGAGCTTATGACCGGCAGGTAAGTGAGAAGCCAGCGTCAAAATGTGCGTACGTGACACGCAGATGGGGACGTGGGGAGAAGGAACGAACAAATTAGAAAAAGGGGACAAAGATGTGCGAGGCTTGAGAAGGTGGTTTTGGAGAAGATGGAACGATGCTTCGAAAAACAGGTGAAGTTTTGATTTTTTTTGCCAAGAAATAGATATGAATTAAGACATGTTTTTATGTCTGTAGAGTTATTGTGCTCGTTATATTCTCTTACTGCTGCCCTGGACCTGTGCTGCCTTTCAGATTCATCCAGCTAACATGTGGAGCAGTCTTCCTGAAAATGTGAGACAGGCCTCTTCTCTGACAATGTTTAAATCCAGGTTAAAAAGCAATTCTGAGGGAATTTATTTATTTTTATTTTTTTTGTTCTAATGTATTGTGATTATTTATGATTTTTGATACCTTTTTGTTCAGCACTTTGACTTGTATGAATTGTGCTGAACAAATAAACTTTACTTGTCTGGCCACTGTGGAAAAATTAAAGGTTCTCTTGTCTTGAGCTGGGACACACTCTGTTTGTAAAAGTAACATTTTGTGAACAAATCAGACCACACCGCGCTGTATTCATCTTTGTAGAAAACATACTTTAAATAAGTAAGTAAGCGCCTTTCACAGACCAGAGTCACAAAAAGCTTTACAATTGTGGGCATTTGTCTCTAACTCCACACAGAGCGGGGACCTATGCCAGACCTATTGTACATGTTTTAAGTGGTAGGGGAAACCGGAGCAGCTGGAGGAAACCGGAGCAGCTGGAGGAAACCTACGCAGACACGGGGAGAACATGCAAACTCCACTCAGAAAGGCCCTGTTCCGACCGGTATTCGAACCCAGGACCTTCTTGTTGGGAGGCAAGAGTGCTATCCACCGTGCCGCCCAACAATTTTACATTGTTTGAAGAAAGAAACCCGTGAGTCACTATCCGTCACTCTTACACATAATCACATGACATAATGTGGTCTGGTTTAGATTTACAAGATTAACACTTAGCTAGACTCTTCCTGTTGGACTTTATGTTTTCACTATGGTAACAATAAGTTAGGTACCCTGGTTTTAAATGACTCGATTGGCTTTGGGTCCGATGCCAAGAGAGAAAAAACTGTTCTATATAATCTGCTGGGACTCTGAGGAGCACAGGGACTGGCCTCCTGCTGGGACTCTGAGGAGCACAGGGACTGGCCTCCTGCTGGGACTCTGAGGAGCACAGGGACTGGCCTCCTGCTGGGACTCTGAGGAGCACAGGGACTGGCCTCCTGCTGGGACTCTGAGGAGCACAGGGACTGGCCTCCTGCTGGGACTCTGAGGAGCACAGGGACTGGCCTCCTGCTGGTCCCAGACTCAGGACTAAACATAAAGAGGCAGCCTTTCAGATTCATGCAGCTAAAATCCGGATCAGTCTTCCTGAAAATGTGAGACCGGCTTCTTCTTTGACAATGTTCAATCCAGGGTGAAAACAGCTCTATTCACCTCTGCTACAACTGAGGGACTGCATCTCCACTCTTTTAACGAAATGTGATTATGTATAATTTTCATGTCTTGTGTGATTTATTCTCTATTGTTTTGTTCAGCACTTGCAGTTACCCTGTGTATAAACTGTGCTATACCAATAACCTTGCCTTGCCTGTGCATATTCAGAGGTGTGCACAAAGCATAAACACTGTAGAATTCAGTTGTCGCTCAGTTTGAAACGTGCTCTGGGGCGTCTGACTGGAGGATTATTCCAGCTTCTTTCGCACACAGGGTTTGGCAGAGACCAGACGGCGGCGGCGGCTGCGGCTGCGGATGGCGTTCGGGATTACACACAAAGTCCGGATGTGAACTCAGCTGCACCGCATTACAATCCATCTGATGTCGCGACACAACAGCTTGTTACGATCTGGTCATCTGTCCAGAACCAAGCAATCTAGTAAAGTTTATGCCTAAAAAAACATATAGTGATTGCACATTTTTTTGATTATTGCACTTTCTATGATTGCTCTGCAGCTCTAAATTCTAATCTGTACTGACAATTTATGACATATTACTCTTGCAATTGTTGTCAAGGAAGTTTTATTTGGCCAGAAACTATGCTTTTTATGGTACTGTGATGGGAGACCTCCGGGAAAACCAGGTGCCACAGTGGAGCGGCTGTAAAGTGCCAAACCGTCGTTGTGTCCTTAGGCAAGACACTTCACCCGCATTAGAAGGAGTCTGGTGTGTGTGTGAAAGGTGGGAGGGGCAGATGGCACAGACTGGTTTTCCTTGCTTCTGTCAGTGTGCCCCAGGGCAGCTGTGGCTGCAGGAGTAGTTTATCACCACTGTGTCTGGTCATATTTATTTATGTATTTAAATTGTGGACATTACAATTCAAATAATTGTAGACAAAACAAAAACAAAATGAACTTCAGCTCGAGTAAGTTGCTAGCATTTAGCCTAGCTCTAGCATTTAGCCTAGCTTTAGCCATCTCCTTTGCCACTAACGAAGCCTGTGGGGAGTAGAGCCACAACATCTTTGCAGCAATGAGATTTGCTTAACATTCCTTTTGCTGCAGCTTCAATTTCTTGATAGAACCAGACTAGAATACTTTACTTAATCACATTCTTCGCCATTGCCAAACTACAACCAGCAAATTCGGCACAAACACCTGATGTCACCCACATCTACCTACTACACGCAACTCCCCCACTCACTTATTGGTTGGAGTGGATTGAACCGATGTAATTGCAGACACTGGGACCAGACCCAGACGGTAAATGCATTCATTCATTTATTTTCTACTCCTCAATCCATTTCTGGGTGGTGAGTCCACAGGAGGACGGCTGCTCTGTGGCATAGCCTTAGTCTTCCCCCGCTGAAAAACTAAGGTGGGGTTAAATGCCTTGCCCAAGGACACAGCAACAGCAGACATCAGTGGGAGTCAGTGGAGAAGGATTCGTGGTGGACTTGAACCCACGACCTTTAGGCTCAAATGCCAATGCTCTACCAACTGAGGGGCGACAGTGGCTCAGGGAAATGATAATTGACCAAAGTTCACGGATAGCAAAGGCTAGAACTTCTCTCATATGATTATTACCTTTGATGGTTCTAAACTCAAATACGATTATGTCAAAACAACAGCCTGAAAAACAAGCTTCCCAAAAGCCAACATCCTCTTCAGCCTCTCACCAAACCCACTGGATCTTCCTGTCTGCGCGGCTGCTGTCTCTCTGCATCCTTTCTTTATTCCCCTCGTCATGGCAACAGCGGTCCCTGGCGAAGCATTTCTCCGCGGCACATGGCACCGTCCCGCACTCGCCGCGCCCACATATCAACAGGCGGCCCGGCTCCCCTCCACCCCAAACGCTTTTGTTATGCAACCTCTGCCACGCCGCCTGCTGCTGCGCGCCGATCCACCCCACGCGCGCCGCTTTCCCAACAGCTTTGTCCAAAATAAATAAATAATAATAACAAAAAGCCATGTTTTATTTAGGAGCCGGTTACAAGCTTGTAGAGAGAATTAGGGGTCGTCATGGAGAGCCATTCTTACTGTTGCTGGGAGAGGAATTCAAACATTAAATAAACATGTTTACAGCATTTTCCCGAATCGCAAGCGACAAAAGCAAAGCGAGGCAAGTTTTTTTGTATAGCGCAGATTCATACACTAGGCAGTGCTTAACAAAACAGATGTATAGTGTATATGCCACAGACGCAAGTTGCAAGAATATATTTGCCATTTGCAGTAAAACCACATTGGAAAAGCTATGCAAGACTACCCCAGTGTGCACTAAAACCGTTTAGGGACTAATGGCCTTTACCCAAGTGTTTTTGTGTGTGTTCTTTTGAAAGCATGTATGAATAAAAATAGAGAAGTGTAGAGAATGAACCATCGCAGTCGCATTAGTGGCGTGTAGTCGCATGTATACGCCGTGTAAGTCGCCGCCTCAGACTCATTCATATGTTCGTATTGCTCTGGGTGATAAATCATGTGAGGTTTTACACACTGTACATGGAGACAGTCTCAGCGGCGATGCTAAGCAGGTTATGTGTGGGGCGCTCTTAAGTCACTGTGGCGTCTCAAACCATCAGGACGCTCACAGGTCACAGGACAAGGTTGTACTTATGGTAAAGGTGTTCTGCAAAGGTATAAAGGAGGATTTTACTATGTTTAAATCATTGACTGTCTTTGACCTATTTGTCTGAGACCCTCTGTTCGACTGGGGATTACAAACTTATTTTTGCTGATCAAAGTAAACAATCCAGTCTTTCAGAATCTGGTTTCATATTTCACGTAGTCTTAGGAAATAATATTCTGTGGGTCTTGAGAATCAGTGAAAACATCAAAAACGGCTGGCAGTCAATGAGTTAAGGAAGGAACCGCCCTCTCTGCTTTGGAAAAAAAAAAGAAATCTGGTCTTATTTGACTAGCACGTATCAACAGAATGATTGACAGTTAGGAGGACCAATAGTCTTGATGATCGTCATACTTGAGGTCTTCACTGCACACAGTAAACACACAGCTCCTCAGTATAACCTTCTCCTCATCACCTCCTCATCAGTGAAGAAGTCTCGTCAGCCATTACCCCTCAGCTCAGCTTCCACCAGAGGCCAGACCCTGATGGGATTCCACTCTTGTAATCCATCTTTCTCTTTTATTCAATATTTCTGCTGGTCTAATCTGCAAACCCCCCCAATCAGCCTTGAATCAAAACAGTAGTTGCTTCAGAGGACCATACAAAGCTGTCGATTCGCCAACGCAGATCAGAGAATCAGACTGTTCATGCAATGCAAAAAACACATACTGTCATTGGTCCATAGAGAAGCAGAACCCGCAATGACCATGATATTAATAGATATCCATTAATGTCAACTGCAATAAATCATTTCTAATTACTGGATGACAATTAATAACAACATATAGTTAATACAAAGTAAAGTCCATAAACATCTTTCTATTGTATGTAAGCTGAAGGGTCTACTGCAGTCATTAATTCAAGTTTACTCTTTTGTGTTGATGGAAATGTTCTGAATGTTCAATTGTGTTAATATTTTAGTCTGAATTTTCATGTTTCTAACTTTTTTAAACTTCTTGTTGTTTTCATTGTACTGCCCAGAAGTCATCAAATCAAAGCAAGGCAAGGCATTTTCAGAAAGACTGTTCCAGATTCTAGCTGCTTGAATCTGAAATACTGCCTCCCCCTGTTTCGTTCTGACTCTGGGACCAGCGGGAGGCCAAGCCCTGTGCTCCTCAGAGTCAGAGAAGGAGGCCAGTCCCTGTGCTCCTCAGAGTCCCAGAAGGAGGCCAGTCCCTGTGCTCCTCAGAGTCCCAGCAGGAGGCCAGTCCCTGTGCTACTCAGAGTCCCAGCAGGAGGCCAGTCCCTGTGCTACTCAGAGTCCCAGCAGGAGGCCAGTCCCTGTGCTCCTCAGAGTCCCAGCAGGAGGCCAATCCCTGTGCTGTGAGTTAGTTCCTATGCCATTAACATGGCTCGGATGTCTCTTACAGGTAGGATATATTGCTTTTTTTAACTCGTACATACAAAAATACAATAAGACCAGTATTGGGCTCCAGTGCACTCAGCCCTGGGGCCGGTGGGAGCGGTGAGGCTGAGGTTAGCACTGGACCGGAGCCCTGTGTGGTCAGCAGGAGTGCGTCTACAAATGAGACCCGCGATCGCATTATGGTCATGAGTTTGCCAGAGACGAGACTGCAGCAGGAGCAGACTGCAGCTGGAGCAGATGTCCGCCGCCTGCTGCCTGCTGTGTGTGTGTGGTGTGAAAGTGGGTGGACGCCAAGACGGCCGAGCCTTTAGAGGTCTTTCAGAAGTCCTTCGTTAGTTTGTTTGGTCCTAATCAGAGAAGTCTTTGAAGCGAGGTTCGACTATATTCACCTTGTGCACCAATGATTTAATAACGGGACAAATTATGTTAAATGTACCGTCAAGGGCACGCTGCATAATGGTCTTTGAGTGGCGGAGATTTTAAACCGGTTACAACATCGCGAATATGAGGAACTTCCAAAACAAACACGTCGCACGGTTTTGGGCCAAGAGCGGTTCTGTTTGAAAATTGGGCTTTTGCAATTTTATACATTTTGGCAATCCAACAGAAAGTACCAAACACTTATATGCGGCGTATTAGATTTATATATTATGTTCGATATAAATACATATGTTAAATTATACAAAGAAAATTATGAAAAAAACAGAAAGGAACATTCACACAGACTGTAATGAGGAGACCTACAGACAATTCAAGTGGATTTATGAGGACATACACAAACACAATGAAAAAATATAATTGTAATTCCAGTTCCCATTTTAAAAAGACTAATAAAGGATGCCTAAGTCCTGGTAAATGTATCTTCATGACCCTGCAACTCTTTGTCACTTTTCTGTCTGATAAAAAAATATCCAAAGATGTGACAGAAGCGAGAGGGGCTGGTCCTCTGTGTACTGGGTGCAGCTCCGACTGCCACCCCCCGACCCAGAAATGGATTAAGGGGAAGAAGATGGATGGATGGATGGGCGACAGAAGCGACAGAATGCATGTGAAAAGTAGTGAAAGAACCAGGAACAGGTCAAAGGTCAAAACTTGGATACTCCAGCTTTAAGTACGTTTTTTTCATTGTAAAATATAGTAAAATGCATTCACCAAACTCTTTCCAATGGCTCCCAGCTAGATCTATACACGCCCCTGAGATCCAAGATGGCGGCTTATTCAAAAGAATGGCTTGTGATTAGTGGTGCATCAAACCACCACAGGCACCGAAATATTAGCGGAATTCACCCACATTTGGACATTCCTCTGGTCTTCCCAGTTTTGCGTAGTGGACGACCTCCCATGATGCTTTGCGCTAAATATCCACAAGCATGCATGTGGCTCTCGAGCACGTAAACAGCGGAGTAAGGCAGAGTTCTGACCAATCAGGCGCTGCTGATCAGAGCGGAGCTAGATCGGGAAGAAAGTGTAGATTTATAGGAAATTGATGGATTTAAAAGGGAGAGTAAAATCCCCGGAAAATCTGACCTTTATGAAAGCTGTAGGTTCTCTGTCAGGTTCTCTGTCAGCTGAGGTCGAGCTGACTTAGTTCACAGTGAGTTCTATGGGACATCTTTCTGGTTAGCCCACGTGAACTAAGTCTTATTTAGTTTTGCAGTACCGCGAGAATCCCCTGAGCCCATGTGTCCTTCAGCTATAAGCTAGTAGTACCCTATCCAGTTATCATCATAGACCCATGGTAATACCCCGTCCAGTTATCATCATAGACCCATGCTAATGCCCTGACCCATGGTAATACCCCGTCCAGTTATTATCATAGACCCATGGAGCTAATCCCACATCGATCCTGTGAATAGCTCTATTCTGAGTGATTCTCTTCCAGCTACAATTAGCAGAAGCCATCTTTAAGACAGTCTCTGGTTCAGGCGATTATTTCTTCTCGCAGAAACAGTGGCTGGAGGCGCATGGACATGAATTATATATAGAGCACCTCATGTAGCGTGGCCCTGCGGCTGCGTGAAACCAGGGCACCACACGGCCTCAGCTCCAAGCCAAAGTCTCGGGTCTGGTGTCGGTGCGTTCTGTTCGTACCCACCGTCGCCTGGGGGTCATTATCATCGGGTCTTTCAAACTACATTTTTGGAGGTGCAGCCAGGTAGAATGTCGTCTCATTACTTTTTCATGGAGCGTTTTCATAAGTGGGGCAGTGGAACTCATCCATTATGCAATTATGTCAAATGATGGCTGCGCAGGCTGTTGTGATGTCACTGGTTTTCGAAGGGCCAATGTCATGTTTACCTTTTTGAGTTATGCTCGTTGGGGAAATGGTTGTCGTAGCCGCGCTCACGAAGGCAACTTGAAGATGAGAAACATGGAGTGTAGAATTTAACTCCCAGAGCAGTCAGTTTGACAGCGTTTAGTTTTGGAAACATAATTACTCGGCTCAGGTACATTCTCGGTCTTCCTTACGTTGTGAATTTTTCTCAATTTGAAGTTTATTACTACTACTATTGTGGCAGTTTGAATAGCACTCTCACTTCTCAGCAAGAAGGTCCTAGGTTCAAAACCCGGTCGGAATACGGTGTTTCTGAGTGGTGTTTTCATGTTCTCCCAATTGGCCATAATATAGCCTAAATTTAACATGTTTGCACATTTCTTTCTTTTGCACAATCTTGAGTGATTCTATCCATGCCAGACCCTAACCCTGACATGTAAATGTCTCCTGTGTGAGATCAATAAAGTCTATCTTATCTTATCTGTGTAAGTTTCCTCCAGGCACTGCTGTTTCCCCTACTAAAAACATGTACATTAGCCCTGAAGTGAGTGGATGTGGAGAGAAAGGAACAATATCTGAACATTGTAAAGCGACCTTGGTCTGTAAAATGCACTAAACAAAATACTTAATTACTATCATTCTTTTTTTAATGAAATTATCTTTTGCTTTTTAAATGTGGTTAGTTTTCTGTCGCTTGGCAACCAGCAT